GTGTTGCGATGAAGGTAAACACCTGTCAACGCATTAGTAATTTCGTCAAAATAAGGCAAAGGACGATTTCAAGGAGTTCAATCATATTCAGATATGAATTTCTAACAAAGATGATCAGTTCAAAGTCAACTCAATGACACGAGCTAAGTTCAGAAACTTACGCATCAACTTCAGTTCAAGATTTCAACAACGGTCAGATGATAAACGCAGCGTCGTAAGAACTTCATCTATTCAACAAAACACTGAATATGCTAAAGGCTGAAGAGATCAAGAATTAAAGCCAGCTATAGGTCTTTTGACACCGACTGAAGGTGGGGGCATATCATATCCAAAGCACCCCAGACTCCTCTATGGAAGAATGAGTCTGAAATACTTTAGAGGGGGTATCTGTAGGCGTCTAAAAATACCTATAAGTATCCACACATAGCTCGAGACAAAGAGAAGGTGACGAACGTCGTTATCTAAATCAAAGAGAATTATCTGACACCGACAAGCGAATCAACGAACTGTTGATGACGTGGCCCGCACGCTCACCGGCCACCAAATCGGTGAACCAAATATCTTGCGTGCTCACCGGCCACCATTAAGTGCCCCGCACGCTCATCGGCCACCAAAACAACGTACAAGTCAACGAAATAACGAAATACGCGTAACGACGGAACAAATCAAAATCCGAAAGACTAACAAAGCCGCTGGCGGCCGAGTCGCATCGGAACGGCTCGACCGAACCAGTGGGTTGGCCCATAGCCAGGTCACCAAGGGTGGCTCGGCCAAGACCGAGCCACCGGGTGACGCGTCGGCCAGATTTGATCATGTTTCGGTTTTGACGATTTTTCTTAGGATTTGTTTGTTCCTGAGCGTCCCAACTGATCTGATACTATGGTTATTCAGTTATTAACTGAAGATAGAGAGGAATCCCTCGTTTTGATCTAAAAAAACCATCAACCGAAGCCTATAAATACGAGCTCGGGTGCTCATTTCTCGGGGGCTGGAGATCAAGAGGGCGAAACGCTGTCGAATTGGAGAGTGGAGTCACGAATTTACAGCAAGGATTATCAGATCTTGGGGACCTCCTGTGCATAAAGAGTGGAGTTCGAGAGATCCGAGACTCGTCCCCTATTCCTCCGGATTTAAGCTTAGTCTTAAATCTTGAGATGAGCCGTGATCTCACTTGGTCGAGATCATCACTGCAGCTATTACTTTCTTCGTGAAGTAAGAGCTTTGATCATTTATCTGTCAACCGGATCTGATCCGTGAAGGTCCACGGATATTAATGTCCTCGGCACAGGCAAAGTTCCCACGCAAGCAGCAGATGATAAACGTCCGTTGCGCTGTTTGACAAGAGTCGTATCTTTTGTATTTTCATTGTATAAGGAGATCTTATAAAAATGTCAACTTTTTATTTGAGTTTATTGTAAACGATTAAAGTTGTAATAGATTCAATCACAATGTAAACAATGATTTTTGACCCAAACACACATGTCATCTTTTAATATGATGTAAAAAGGAGCCGACTGAGATGGAGATGGAGCCACCCGTAGGGCTACAATATCCCTTCTTCCATCGTGGTGATGAGATTGAAAAATAGGAATGGAAGAAGATGTGCGAGTACCTCATTGGGACTTCTGGGGGCGGCCGACGATATGTGCGGGAGCCCGATCCCGAGTACCGCTTTGAGGCTACTCGCCATCTTGATGCCACGAGGACTGTCCTCAGCTCTCGCATGTGCCAGTCGAGGGAAGTCGAGCAATTCTATCTTCCTCAAGACGATGAGTTCTTTAAGGGAGTCCCCAATGCTGGCCTCTATCTGAGCCTTCGAATCTATCTAGTTCGGGGTGCTCTGGTAGAGTAGGAGATGTTTGGACCGATGCAGCACATCTGTACGTCCTATCTCAAGCTCTTGGGGGAGGTTGAGTCCCTGAGGGCTAGCAGAGGGGTCGACTTGAGGCGATTTGCTGTGGCATGGGCTCTAGAAGCCGTCGCGGTCGAGAAGCTCAAGCAAGAGCTGGAGGAAAGCCGAAGGAAGGCCGAGGGACTCGGCGAGGCTCTCTAGGATAGGGACCGCGCTTAGGCGCAGATCGAGATGGAGAAGCAGGTGGCGGTGCATGCGCAACGCTAGTTGTCCGAGAAGTAGGCAAAACTCACTAAGCTTCAAGGGGATGTCACCCACCTCAAGTCTGAGGCTTACCGCCAGGAGGTCGTCGAGGAGTATCGCTAGAGCTTAACCGTAAAGACTGAAGTGGGGATAGCTTATAAGTTCAGGTATAACTATCTGTCGGCGTAACCCCCAGCCGAGATGAGGAACCCACTTGATCGCTTCCACGATCCTCCCATCGTGGCCAATTGTCTGGACAAGTTGGAAGAGGTGGAAGCACATGGGGGAGGACTCGATTTGGGCGCGGATGATGATGACTCGGATGAAGGAGGACTGCTCGACTCCTCCGTCGACTGCACCCAGAGGATCCCTGCCTACGACCCCAGGAGCTAGGTTGGAGTTCTCTCAGCCTCCTAGGACCTTACCACCCCTTGACTTTTGTATTGTGTAAATGTATACCTTGTATCTTGTAAATATTCTTTACCGATGAATAAAAAAATATTTTTGACTTTGAAATTGCTTTTTTATGTCGCACAATTCTAATGTGTCTGCTGAATGACTTGGCTTCAATATAGACTTGCATACTGAGTGTCGACTCGAGGAGGCTCGTCCATTGTTAAGAGGAGACGTCTCGACTTCAAGCTATCACTTTGGATGCATTAGTCTTTTGTCTAAGTATTGAACCAATCTGGTCGATTGCTCTGGTAGTCGGCGTATGAGCTTTTTCCAACGAGTGTCTAGGAAAGATGCTCTATGAAATCTTTTGTCGGTTGTTGAGGGTCGACTAAGAATTGGTCGACTACTCGCCGAACAAGCGCCGTTTAGTGAGCTTCTAGAGGCCTTTATTGGGTAGGTGAAACGTCATTGTTGGAAATGACGTGATGACGTTATCAGATGTTAGAAAATTATGGCGTCTGTTCGATTTTCGAGCGATGAGGCTAAAGAGGAAAGACACTTCGAGTTTCAAGTGAACCGTTTGAGATTTCGAGGTGAATCTCGCTCGTTCATTTCAAAACGAGACAACCGTCCAGCTTAACCCACACATCCCTCTGGAATGCTATAAATAGCTTGCTGGGGGCGAAGAGGAATTCTCTGATATCAGATGCTTTGTATAAGCTTTGCTTAAAGTTCAATTAAAGTCATCACAATATTATCACTATTAATTTTAAAATCATTACAATCAGTATATGAAACCGGTATAAACCGTAAGACTCAACATGAATAATTAAAATATCGATACAAACTCGTTAATGTCTGAAGTTTAGTAGTAGGATTTAGGGTAGATTTTAAAGAACTTAGGGTTTCTTAATCTCCTTTAATAGCTGATTGTTGAGAACCGGAGTTGGGTTCTTTTATTGTTCCTCCAACGATCAAGTTAGTTGTGATCTGAAGGGAAGGAAAATGATTTAGTTCTCTTAAGTGTGCGGAATTTTGTGTACCTTCATGCAGTAGGCGATGTGCCTATTTATACTAGATCTAGAAGGGTATTTGCGTAACTTTGACTGAGTCCAGACAGTCGGCTAAGTTAGCTGATACTTTTTAGGTATTGGCAGCGGATGGTCCGAGTCACCCTTGTACTGATTATGACGGCGACAGAGGGGCTGCAGTGCCCGCGTGATCCGATGAGTCATTATGACTCCATGGGAGATGCATGATGGCTTTGGCCATACATTTGATGTGATAGCGATTGGTTGTCGTTGTTAAGTTCGAGAAGGAACGCCTTTCGTCTTGGTTCCCCGAGAGAGGTCGAGTGAAGACGCCTTTCGACTTGGTCTGCTAAGCGAGGATGCTCGGATATCAGAGACGGCTCGAGTAAGGATGTCTTTTGAGTCGGCCTTTACGAGACTCGAGCATGGTTGATGTCCAGTTGATCGAGACACGTGTCGCTTTCTGGAACGAGATTTACACTTAGCGGTTTCTATGATATAACAAAACTAATTATAGAATCAATGGCCTCAGTATACTAGTCAGCACAGTTTATCACATTCTATAAGATGCCCTCTATATGATTTTCCTTGGGGATGCATCTAAATTCTTTGATAACTAAATAAACAATGATTTAACAGGATATCTGCCCAATTAGTAAGACATAATAGAATGGAAATCACTTGAAAAGGAGTGGATATTAGAGATCTCTATGTTTCAACCCAAAACAATGTAAGAGTTGGGTACAATGTCACAAGGCACGTCAAGGCCATTCTAATGCGACAAACATGATTCTGATGTATCCCTGAAGTCATTTCAGCAGCCTGTACCTTAAAAAATTTGATCTCTTCTCATCAGAGCATGAGATCTTCTTCTGGAACCCTGAGACTCTTTGTCTTATAAATCAGTCAGGGTATTTTGGATTCTAGCCAGCTTCGACGGAACTCTTGAAATATTCTCCAAGCTAATGAGGGCACCCAAAATTTATAACCAAGACTTCAAAAAATCCTATAGGGTGTCCCATGTAGAAATCATACAGAGAAATTAATATACCATCACAAATTTAATTTAAATCCACATGAGCAGTTTCAATTCAAATAATAATAATAATAATAATAATAACAACAAGTACATCAAACAATGTTGAAGAGTTAGGTACAGGGTAGCAAAGCACACCAAGGCCATTCATCTCTCT